TGAGTAGAATATGAATGTTTTGACATAATAACTAAGAAAGTTACATGAAGGCTATGTTAACCAGTTTGATGGAAATGTCATGGATTGTGTGTGAAAACACCACACTGTACCCCCAAAGTGCATCAATGTACACAGTTACCATTCAATTAAAAAAAAAAATATTCTACACAACTGGCCCAGTCTTGTCAACAGTTAAGAAAGATTCAAAGGGCACAGTGATCAGATGTAATTAATTTGTGTTCCTTGACTAGTTTTAGGTTTGGACTAACCAGGCAGCTGTTAAGTGACATTTTTTGATTAATGAAGGAAATCTGAAAGTAGTCTCAGATAAGATGAAAATTTAATGAAATGGAAGTTAACAAAGAAATAGTCGACTAAAAAAAAGTAATTAGGCTTGGTGCCTGTGGCTCAAGCAGCTAAGGCATCAGCCACATACACCTGAGTTGGCGGGTTGGAATCCAGCCCAGGCCCGCCAAACAACGATGGCTGCAACAAAAAAATAGCCGGGCATTGTGGCAGGCGCCTGTAGTCCCAGCTACTTGGGAGGCTGAGGCAAGAGAATCTTAAGCCCAAGAGTTTGAGGTTGCTGTGAGCTGTGACACCATAGCACTCTACCAAGGGTGACAAAGTGAGACTCTGTCTCAATAAAACTAATAAATAAATAGCCAGACGATGTGGTGCATGCCTGTAGTCCCAGCTACTTGGGAGGCAAGAGAATCAATTCAGCCCCAAGAGTTTCAGGTTGCTATGAGCTGTGCTACAGCACTCTACCAAGGGCAACATAGTGAGATTCTGTTTCTAAAAAAATAATAATAAAATAGGGCGGCACCTGTGGCTTAGTGGGTAGGGCTCCAGCCCTATATACCAAGGGTGGCAGGTTCAAACACGGCCCCAGCCAAAGTGCAACAAAAAATAGCCAGGCGTTATGGTGGGCACCTGTGGTCCCAGCTACTTGGGAGGCTGAGGCAAGAGAATTACCTAAGCCCGGGAGTTGGAAGTTGCTGTGAGCTGTGATGCCATGGCACTCTACCAAGAGCGAGAAAGTGAGACTCTGTCTTTACAAAAAATAATAATAATGAAATAATAATAAAAAAATAAATTGTATCTTTATTTGTATAAAAAGAGATCGGATATATATAAAATCTCTTTTGCTTGTCTATATTATCATTTTCTTCAATATATATTTGCTACTTCCACAATAAAAGGTTATTAGATAAAAACAATTAATTTTGCCTAGAAAGTTTGTTTTTTTTTGAGACAGAGTCTCACTCTGTCACCCAGGCTAAAGTTCCACAGGCTCAGCCTAGCTCAGATAATCCTCCTGCCTCTGCCTCCCAAGTAGATGGAACTATAAGTGTGCACAACCACACTCAGCTAATTTTTCT